TTCACCACATTTAGTAAAAGCGTCGACGATCCTGTCAAATAACATTTTTTGGATGTATCTGTAATTATTTGAAACCTAAGAGCGAATATTTTATATGCTAAATCGACGCAGAAACTAATGAACTATTTTCTTGTATGCCAAAAGGGTGAATGTTGACCTAGTCGGCCTTGAACAACATTCAATCAACCTTGTACGAATGTGATCCAGTCACATTCAAGCTACCTTATGGCTTCAACTTAGGGATTGAAGCCACTAGAACGACGGAGCAGTTAGTAAATACAACCACACAATAGCATCGAGTCCCATGTCATGCGTCCAGCTTCAGATATACATACATCTCGATGTAGCAAATGTACTCAATACGAAATTAACACTAAGATACGATTGAAATTGATTTAGAGACGGCAAACATCAAATTCTCAACTAAGAAAAGTAAAAAGTTCCAGTATCGCTGGCGAAGTGGGGGCCCATCCTTGTTCGCGCTTCTGTTTCTTCAAAGTCTTGTTCTTGCTTTTCGGTTTTGGTAACAAGCTTCCCAGCGCATTCGTTATGAGCGCTGACGATGGTCGGTGCCAAGCACTCCTTCTTTGATCCACGTTGCGCACCTACGCTGTCGGTTCCTTCTGAGATCTTGGTTTGGGCCTCACCTTTTGGCAGCAAGCTCTCAGCACATCCATGGGGAGTGTTAATGATAGGCAGTGACATGACCTCCTCTTTCGAACCGACTCCTTCCCTTCTGGCCTGCTCTGTCGCCGCATTAAGCTAAAACGAACCAAGAATGATCAGATTTTCAAAGTTTAGTCAACATTTTTTTTAAAAAAATGAACTTTTGGTACTTTCCTTTAAAAAAAAAACAGTTTTTGAAATGAGGACGTTTAGAAAAAAGTATTTTAGCATTTCAAAATTTAAAACCAATAAATGTGCATTTAAAGGAATTTTTTTGTAGAAAAAGTTGTTTGTTTCTTTATAAAAAAATACTTTAAACGAGTTTCATTTTATGGCGTTGTTACGGGATATTCTTCATTAGTATTGACAAATGTTATAATATTAA